TTGACGATTCACTTGTAAAATGAATAAGCTTATCCCTAAAAAAGTATTTTCCTCAAAAACTTTCATTCACATTCACGTCAATATATATACACAATACATAGGCATATCTTTTGCCTAACATAATGGGGTCAAACCTTATTTTAAGGAACTAACTATTGACTAAGCTATTTTCCATAATAACATATACAACATATATTTAACACACCCCCGTAGTCGAAGCTGGAGGTTCTCGGATACTGAGACTGTCTCGAAAATCGTCAAAAAGAACACGCGGAAGACCCTTCGTAAAAATATCCGCGATCTGATAGCGGGAAGGTACATGGAGAACACGAACTTGACAACGAGCAACTTTTTCCTGTACAAAATGAATATCCATCTCAATATGCTTGGTGCGTTGATGTTGCACCGGATTTTCCGACAAATAAATTGCACTCACATTGTCACAATAAACAAGTGTAGCCTTTTTAATTGGACAATGCAATTCTAACAACAAGTTCCGTAACCAACATGATTCAGATACGACATTTGCAACGCCCCGATACTCGGCTTCGGCACTTGATCGAGAGAGAGTAGGTTGTCGTTTAGATGACCATGAGACCAAATTATCTCCCAAAAAAACACAATAACCGGACGTAGAACGTCGTGTATCCGGACAACCACCCCAATCAGCATCAGTATAAGCAACCAATGATGAAATTGAAGAAGCATAGAGATGGAGACCATGACTAAGAGTACCTTGAATATACCTGATAATGCGCTTGAGAGCTTGGATATGATCAACTCTCGGATCATGCATATGTAAACATACTTGTTGAACCGCATACGAAATATCAGGACGAGTGAATGTAAGATATTGGAGTGCCTCGGCAAGACTCCTATATAGAGTAGGATCCTCAAAACGAGTACCAGAAGTAGCACTAACTTTCTGTTTTGTATCAACAGATGTAGTGGAAGACTTGCAAGAGGACATGCCAGCTCGCTCAATTATTTGCTCGGCATACTTGTGTTGTGAAAGAAACATACCATCCTTATGTCGAGACACAGAAATACCAAGAAAGTAATTTAAAGGCCCGGGATCTTTCATAGCAAATTCCGAGCTAAGAAAACCCATTATAGATAAACGAAGGGCGTTAGACGAAACCGTGAGAATAATGTCATCCACATATAATAAGATATAAGCTATGTCAGGTCCTTTGCGATAAATAAACAAGGAGTTGTCACACTTGCTATTAGTGAAACCAAGAGAAATAACATAATCTGCAAATCGCTTATACCATGTACGGGGTGCCTGCTTAAGACCATATAACGACTTACGTAAAAGACACACATAATCCGGATGATTTCGATCCCGATAACCCAATGGTTGATTCATATATACCGTTTCTCGTAATTCACCGTGAAGAAACGCATTTTTGACATCCAATTGATGAATGGACCATGCTTTTGATAATGAAAGAGAAAGAACCGTGCGAATCGTAGCCGGTTTCACCACCGGGCTAAACGTTTCTCCACAATCAATGCCAACATGCTGAGTTTTCCCATCACCTACAAGACGGGATTTATGCCTCTCAAACACACCATTAGATTTTTCTTTATGAGTAAAAATCCACATAGAACGAACAACATTAACATTCGATGGTCGTGGTACCAACTCCCACGTCTTATTTTTAATAAGAGCATTATATTCATCATCCATAGCCATTTTCTAATTCGGGTCACGAAGGGCTGCAATCGGGTTACTGGGTAAAGGTGACCGGGTAATAGTGGTTGTAGAAGCATTATATTTTTTATTTGGTTTAAAAATACCCCTTTGACTTCTTGTAACCATTGGAGTACCATGCGTAGGCAAAGATTAGGAGTTGGTGCACTTTGTCATGTGGATGCATTAGAAGAAACAGTGGGTGTAGGTGAAATCAGTGTATGGGTAGTTTGTGGGCCATTATTAGCAAGGTGGTAATATGATTGAGGAGTTGGGCTAGTATTAGGAAATGAGATATTTTGAGTGGAAGATGAAAAAGTAGGATACAGATGGGACGACTTTTGATTTTCATCAGTGAGGTTTTGAAAATGATGCATTGTATATGGAGAAAAGTCATCATTTAGAAAATCATATGTATAAGGCGACACATTGTGTCCCGTTGCAAAAGGAAAAACATGCTTATCAAATAAAACATGCCGACAAAGAATGATTTTATTTGTAGACAAATCAAAACATTTGTAGCCACGGTGATTCGATGGGTATCCTAAAAACACGCACGGGGTGGATCGTGGTTGCAATTTATTTATAGTAGTAGACGGGATTAAAGGATAACACAAACATCCAAAAATCCGAATGTGAGAATAGGAAGGAACCCGTTGATATAATATTTGAAGAGGTGACACGTTACCCAAAAGCTTGCTTGGAAGAACATTTATAAGATAAGTCCTCATTTGCAAAGCGTGATGCCAAAAAGAAGAGGGAAGAGAGGCATGAGTTAAAAGAGTACGAATAACATTATTGATAGAATGTATTTTTCTTTCGGCTTTACCATTTTGAGAAGAGGTATAAGGGCAAGAAAAACGTAACGACATGCCATGAGTTTTACAAAAATTCCGAAATTGGCCATTATCAAACGCCCTCCCATTATCACATTGTAAATTTTTAATACTGCATGCAAATTGGGTGAGAATATATGCCTGAAAACTGACAAATATGTCGAATACATCCGATTTCTTGGCTAATGGAAAAGTCCATAAAAAATTCGAATAATCATCCAAGAACAAAACATAATATTTGTGCCCGATAGAACTCAAAGTAGGAGAAGTCCAAATATCACTATGAATAAAATCAAAACGCATAGTGGTATTCGAATTAGAAGAAAAAAAAATGGTAGCTTAACATGCTTTCCAAGAGCACAAGAGCGACAAATTGTAGAAGTAGAAATACGATTACAATCAATGCTTTTATTTTTCCTAAGAGTATCCAAAATTTGAGCACCCGGATGACCTAGACGATCATGCCAAAGAGAAGAAGAAATGGCGGCAAAAGCTGAAGGTTGAGCTTGATTATTTGAGGAAGTAGTAAGAGGATATAGGTCACCCCGACTTTCACATCTCATTATTCGTCTCCCTGTCTGTAAATCCTTCACAGAAAACCCAAACGGATCAAATTCAACCGTTACACAATTATCTGTAGTAAACTTGCGAACCGAAATAAGATTCTTAATAATTTCGGGAGCATGAAGAACATTTTTTAAGGATAAAGGGGGATTAGGAGTAGGTAATGAAGTGTGACCATAACCACGAATTGGAATAGTATGACCATTTCCTACAACAATTCCATTATGATGATTGCTCAAATTAAAATAGGACGAGAAGTTATCGTTGGAAGAGGTCATGTGAGACGTAGCACCGGTGTCCATGAACCAAGTCGGATAAGGTGGATTAATAGACATTGTGTGCATAGCTGCTTCAATATCCGTTGGAGCATACGATGTAGTTTGGTCATTTGGTGAAGTCACAAAGGCTTGTTGATGCTGTGGACGAGGTCCAAGAAGCCCATTTTGTTGATGTCTGTTAGGTGGTAATCCACGGGCCCATCCTTGTGTTGGATATTGGCAAGGTGGAGATGCCTATTGAGGAAATCATCCCCACGGATGATACCCCCAAGGAGCGAACCCCTGTTGTTGCTGCTGTGGACTTCGACGGCTCCCACTACCGCCATCTTGACTTCCACCGTGATCTCCGCCGGACACACGACCACCACCACTTCCAGGTTTCTTTCCAGATCTGCGATTTCCAAGTTGCTTCCCTTTGTTTTGTGTGTAATCTGAGTTCGATTTGGGCATGAGTGGTTCGTCAGATTGTGAAGATGCTACCATGGCGGATTCAGACCCCATAGCCGCCTCTTTAGCAAGACCAGCCTCCTCTAGGGTTAGCATAGAGCGTGCCTGATAGAAGGGGGCAAGTAGATCGCTTTGTCTGATCAGTGTTCTGACACCCCTGTATGCCTTGGTGAGACCCGAAACCAATTGAATTACAAGTCGACTTTCCGACACCGGTGCGCCCACGTTCTTCAGTTGATCAGCAAGCGACTTCAGACGTTGGCAGTAAGACGAAACATTAGGAAAGTTCTCCATTTTTGTGTTGGAGAACTCGGCTTCAAGAGTTACCACACGAGAATTCTTGTTATCTTGGAATATGTCTCGTAGCCTATCCCAAGCTTCCATGGCAGTAGCATCTGGTTCAATTATGGTATGCAATAGGTCATTAGAGATTGTAGCATAAATCCATGACAGAACCGTTGCATCAAGAGTCGACCATAATTCCTTTTCTTCTGCAGTAGTCGGGACCTTCGGATTGGGAGGAGGAATAATATGATGAAGGACCTTATGAGAACGTGCAGTAATTTTGAAGAGCTCTGCCCATGTCGAGTATTGAACATTCTCCATTTCAAGAATGATCGAGATATGGTTGCGGATGTTAGACACCGCGAGAGCAGGATGAAAGGAACTTTTGTTATCAGACATGGAGTTGTGAAGGAGAAGACAGAGAAAAAGAAGAAAAAAAGAGGACGCCTAGGGCACTTGCGGAAGAAGTTAAATGGAGATTACCCTAGTAGCTCTGATACCATAAAAAACTATTTTCCTCAAAAACTTTCATTCACATTCACGTCAATATATATACACAATACAAAGGCATATCTTTTGCCTAACATAATGGGGTCAAACCTTATTTTAAGGAACTAACTATTGATTAAGCTATTTTACATAATAACATATACAACATATATTTAACAATCCCGACGAGATTACTGTTTTAGCATGGAGATTGAATATACTACGAGTTTTAATAACAAAAAAAAATGATTTTTATGGTGTTTTTATAGATGTAAGTGACATTATACACATTTGTAACACTATTATATTCTAATCACATTTGAAAATTATGAACATTTAGGAAATTTAATAACCATATAACTAGTTTGTTCTTGTATATACAAGTTTAAAGCATATGCGACCATATAATTACATTAATTGCATACATGACTAAAAACAAACTTAGGAGCTAGGTGGTCCTTCTAAACGAATGTAATCATACATAACTCCATAAAACGGGTTTCCTGCATTTTCTTGTGTCAAATAAATCGCATTCTCTATGGTAGTGTTCAAGTTTGTTCCTGGTATGTCTATGTTGAACAACCAATACAACCCATGTATTCCATGCCTTGCAATTGAATTGTCTCCTCCAATTATTCCAGTAGAAAACAATGGCAAATCCTTGTTTGGATCGTTAAGACGAACCTGAAATTCAAAATCCGGTCACAAACACACACACATTGAAATTACACATCTTTGATTGAACTAATTTATATGCAATAGAAAATCAATAATTTAATGGGTATTTCATATGAAAAACAGATGTTACTAGATTGACTCAATAAAGTTTAAAACTATAATGAAAATTATTATCACTAAAAATATTGAAATCTAAATATATTGATTTTTATATACTCATTTTGTTAATGTGACCTATTAAATGTAAAAGTAGACCAAGCAATTTTCCAATCAATGCAAAACTATAGTACATCTGTTATGAATTATAATTTGGTGTTACTTCTTAGTCATTAGCAATGTATAATTGTTTTCATACTAATAACATACCTGCAGATCAGAAACGTTTGCAGATGCTAGAGCCAATCTTAGTTTGTAAATTCCATTCGTGTTCACTTCGTTAAGCGTGAATTTGATCGTCCATGTCGTTTTTTCATATGTATTTTCCTCTTTTTTCCTATAAACCAATATAAGACAGAAAAATTTAACTTCAAAGCTACGTATTCAAACTTATTTATAAAAAGGTTAATTGGTCGTATTATTTATTTTCCACTCCAACAAGTCAAATGAGTAAATTATTAAAAAAAACTAAACTAAAAACATGGTAAATGGGTTAAGGAATTCAATCGGGATTCGGGAAGTCCTTCAAAATGTATTTAAATGCTTAAAACCTCCTAAATCGTTTTTTATGCATTTTCATCTTTTATAAATATAACTGATACATTACTCACTTATAAAGGGAAAAAATATTGGTACATCAAACACATTATGAACGGTATTTCAATTATACAACTATCCATGCCCAGAAAGAGATGGATTATACCTGGTTACATGTGCAAAAAACCAGTCTTTGTTGTAATCGCTTTCACCGATCGTGAAAACCAAATCGTGATCCGGGTATAGAATTGAATATCTTTCCCATAATCCGTATTGTCTAAATCTGCTTAAATAGTATATATATATATATATATATATATATATATATATATATATATAATATATATATATATATATATATATATCGATTTTATTAATTAATTTGTAATTAAATTGCCATGCATACATGAAGATTGTAAATATGGTTGACCTGTTGAGATTGTTGGCGAGAAACTGGTTGGTATATATAATGTCAGGATCAGGAATGTAAAATTCAGCTGCAGAGCGGTCAGGTACACCAATCTCCCATAAAGTTGGACCGTCTCTCGGCGGTTCAAAAACAAGATTGCCAACATCAATGTCACAACCTGTGCACGATTAATATAATAATAATTTATGTTTTTGAAGGAGGTTTCGACTCATTTATGAAAAATGATCGATTATAGCTATTTATTACTATCGGATCAAATTAATGAAATGAATATTAAGCTATGAAATAAAACAGTTTGGATATTTAAAAGTAAATAATTATTAGAATTTTGCTAGACAAATTTATTTATTTGATATATACTAAAACGACAATTTGTATAATAATATTTTTTTAGAACGGCTGCACATCCACCCACTATATTAATCCTAATATATATCTTTCGTATCGAATGAGACTTAATCCTTAGTATATTTATAATTTAAAAGTAGCAAAAATGGACTCATTTTGATTTGTATGAAAAATAATGTCTTTTAACTCGTTAACAATCCACTTTCAAATTTCATCCACACCTGGTGTAATGGTGATGGTGGTATCGTTTATATAGTCACCAATGAATCCGTGGACCCACGCATATATATTATATGTGCCAGCCAAAATGTCTTCAATCAAAAAATGACCTTCCTTGTTTGTTTTGCTCCAAAACTGATATCCCTATATAAAAATAAACATAATTGGTTTTTCGATTGCTAATTTAAGATAAAATATTGCATGCGACTAAGCTTTAATCTCCATATCCTATTTTAAACTCACCTTGTTTTCGAATTGCCATGATCCAGGGTCTCCTGGAGGAGCTAGCCCGATGTAAGCATCAACTGCGGGCTTTTGTTCATTGCTAATGAATCTAAGTAGGTGTATAAATTGGTCTTCATGCCTCTTATGTTTTGATTTTTCTTGTAGATACAAAGGAAAGAAGATTATACCTGTCATATACCATTAATTTGCCACTTATCATGCCTCGTTCCTCAGTTTGATGGAAATCTTCCGAAGCTGGAAAACGGTAAGGCCATTTTCCTACTTCATCCAACATCTGAAAATTATGAATTATAAAGTGATAATGATCGTTTGTTTTGGAAATAAAATGTTGTTTTTGTATGACCAAGATCCAAGATGGTTGAAAGCAAGAAAATTAAGAAATGAACGTGTACACACCCACACACACTAAAAGAGCTTCTAAATTAATAATATACCTGATTCTTGGCATCTTCCCAGAGCGTAATAGGGTCCTCACTCGTAGAGGTAGAGTTGAGATACATAAAAACCGGACCAAAAACTTTCTTCCATGCTTCCCCTTCGTCAAATTTGATTACTAAATCATTTCCACCATAATGAGCGCTAACAAACATCTGAATTCGTGAAAATACGCTCGTTAGGCTAAACTTTTTGAATATGTTGTTGGTACCAAAAAGTTTAACTATTCCTACCGCTAAATTTATCGGGCCAACGTGCGAAGTAAGCTCCTGCTTGGAAGGCCCGCCGGTACGAAACTCATTACTTGGCGAAATTTGCCAAAACCCTACAGATGGATCTATGGATATCCATCCATGAACCTTTAGATCACTGGTTTCACATGAATATTGATATTTATCATCTACCTACACCCACAAAATCATAAGAACGTAAATTTACAAAGAATAGAAGCAAATAATACGGGAAAATGAAGGTGGCTCTTCTCTTTCTCATGTTTGTATGCATTTCCTTGTATGATCTTATGTCCGAAAAGAATCATAATTTCTTATTTGTGATTCAAATTTTCTATGTTTCTTATTGTTTCTTTGTGCATCAATTTTAAATTTTATTCACTTGCATGCTTTGTTATGTTGAAGAGAATGATCATAATTATGCAATAAAAATGTACTTTTTAGATATTACTTGCATGTTTTGTATGCTACAGTTATATAACATTTTTCTCGTTGTTTTAATGATTGTTTAGATATTTTTTTTAATAGTCGGTAACATCAATTACATATATTTTTTTAATCGTCCATGATTGAGTGTTATTGCATATGTAAGTTATTTTTTGATTGTTCAGTTACTCTATTTTTCATCATCCCTATTCTTGTTAGTTATTTTTTGATCGTTCAAACAACTATTGTTTTGATTGTCTTTGTTCTGTGTGCAGAATCAATGTTTTCCCAAAAAGAATGTAAGGCTCAAAGCTAACCCGAAAATTTTCTCTAGGATTCATGAGGAATTGGTAATGTCCTAGCTTTGTTAGTGATGTGTGTTTATCATCTCGTTCCATGCAATTATATTTTCTTCTTGATGTTTTGTTATTATGAATATAGATGAATAAGAACCCAAATATGGAACAACCTAACTAAACTCAAACATTTGAGCGCATACGTAAAAGGGTAATCAAAAAATATATGTTGTGAAAGATATGATGACATGACAAAGAAAAATGTAATACAATTCAAGTTAATTATATCAAGTTATTAATTATGTTATTACTTAATTGTAATTTTGGTAAAATTTCCATTTTGAATAAATTGAACAAAGAAATTAAGATCTACCAATCCTTATAATACAAGAGTGCTCTAGTTTATACTTTTGTGGTTTGATGGGCAAAGAGTATGACACACATTGTAGAATCTATGGAAGTGTTTTTTCCTATCATTCATGTGAAGTGTTTAAAATGAAAATAAATCAATGGTTTTTCATTTTCTGTCATTGTTGTGAAGTGTGTATCTGTATTTCATAAAAATACTAAACATATTTTTCTATAACATTAAAATATGTCTAAATATCTTTTTGGTGCACGGAAAGATGCAAGTGGATTTTTGCAACGATATCGTGTGAAAGAAAGTACTAGTATTTAAGGATTTATGTATTTTCTATTATTGTAGTCGATAGTTTTTACGTTTTTTATAAATCTAATGTTTGTTATTTTAACATGGGGCGTGTAAAAAATACAATTTACAATTACTTTTTTTTTATTATATGCAGAATTTCTTTGTCTCATATTAACTTCTTATAATAGATACAAGTACTTAAATTATTGTTCTTTATATTGTATAAAACTTTAATGTTATTTTGCAACATATTTTTTATCGGCAAAATCAACTTTAATAGTGATAAACTAAAATCAACTTTAATAGTGATAAACTGTTATATTAAATAATGACTAGTGTTGCATTTATGCATGGAAGTGTTCCACTTGATGTGCATAAAAATGTTGCCATAAGTTTATAGTAAAATCAAAGAAGGGTTGTACTTATAGTAAAAAGTGGTGCATTTGGTTTAATATATGTTACATTTACAAGTGTTGTGATTATTAAAAATGTAGCACTTTAAATGTTGCATATTCTAAAAGAAGTGTTGTATTAGGCCTAAAGAGACATTGTCTAATACAACACATAGTAAAATGTTATATCATGCAAAATGTAACACTTTTAAAGTCTACTGCAACATTTTACGGGTGTTGCATTAGCTTCATTTTGTTGTAGTGGAACATAGAGAATTTGACAGATTAAAGATCCAATCTTGAACTAATAGATGTATCCTATAGACAGATCCTTGACATGAGTTTTTTCTTAGGATACTACTAATCACAAGCCTCTTTATGTACATATTTCGTGTTTTATAGTCTCTAAATCAAGTATGCCTTCTACTTTGTATTGAATTATGTCGAGCTAATTCAATAAAATTACAATAGTTTGTTTATATTTTTATTTTTAGAATTCATGGTTGTTTACTTATATCATAATATAAGACTCCCGAAGGCATGTCTCCATCGATAGGTTGTATATTAACTAATCATGATGATGGAAAAACCTTTAATTGCATACCTCTCCTTTGAACTCGGGCTCTAAGGGATCAACAAGAAGAACTGCCTCTGGATAAGCCAATGATTTACCTCTATTCGGTGACCGATCATCAGGCAAAGGCATATATCGATGTCTGTCATCAGACATCGCCATGTAGTGAAACCTATGAAAGTCATAACACAATAAGAAACTATAATTTGTTATGTAGATAGACTTTCATCCAACATAAATCGATCCTACTTTATAAACATCTTTGATATTCAAAAAACAATGTCAGCCATAGATTTCATTATCTTTTAGTATTTATTTGCACATCCATATAAACATATATATTGAGTATGGTATAACATGTTATTTTTTCTTTTTTCCAAAAAAAGATCTTCAAGACTCTCCCACATGTGATGGGTGATAACTCTTATCGTGATAACTCTTATCTTTAGAACCCTTTGCAGGAGAGATTTGTTTGTTGATTGTGTCATGTATCCAAAGTTTCACCAACGAGTTGAGTTTTTGCCACTTGGGACCAGAAGTGGCTTCTTCAAGATGGTGATTCACACCAAAACACATGCAATATTCTTCAAAGAGCTCTTGTCACTCATCGTAATTTAACTCATCGAGATCAAGTATAAGGGGCACATATGATCAAATTGTTGACCGGATCGGTGACCATGGTGGCGATCTAGAGTTAGGATCGGTTGTAGGATAAGAAGATGAGAATATTTGATTAGAGGGATTCTAAAAGATTTGATTGAATGGCTTTGATATACATGTCCCACAATATATACACACAAAATACAATACATGGGCTAACATATAAGAATTGGGCCGAACGTTAAGTTATCTACTAATTTTAATTTAGTGTTTAATTGATTATTATCTTAATTTTAGACCGTTGTTTTATTTCATTTTTATATTTATAGACATTTTATTTTGTTTTTGTAGTTTATGTTGTAATAGAAAAATGTATAAAATAAAAATCAATATATTGTTGAATGTAAGTAAACGTGTTGAAAAAGAGAATTTACATTGGGTCATTTTTTTAAGTATGAAAAAACGGTTGATGATTATGTGGGTCCATCAACGCATTTTGCAAACTAGTATTTTAAAAGTAACCATTTTACAAATGCTTTTCAAAACAAAACCCAATTTTGAAGAAAAAAACAAAAAAAAAAAATTATCGGATAACATAGAAAGAAAGGTGTTTACTTGTCTTTCCTGAGCTTGAACACTATCCTGGTTTCCGGAAGATTGAAACCAGGCCATCCCTCTAAATGTTCGTAAATTCCATACGAGTAGAAACCCGAAGAACCGCGAAGCAACACAAACCTATTGAATTTTCATCGTCATAATCTGATTATCATTACACACACACACACACACACACACACACACACACACACACACATATATATATATATATATATATATATATATATATATATATATATATCACCTTTTGTCTATCTTCAACGGGACGTGCTTGCCCTCTTGGGAGGAATCCCATGTCCTTGAAAAGGAGAGCTCTACTTGATCGTCTGTATCGACTATAACCTCACAACTTGTTCCAATGATCCTGTTTTATGGCAATCATTACGTATTAAAGGTTGAAACTTTTCGAACGAACATAAAAAGAAAATTTTGCATGAGATGGCGATCGAGAGAGATACCTTTCAAAAGTGCCTGTCGTTCCGGGACTTCTAGGTGGACTCCAAACGAGATCCCAATAACTATTCACATGTCGTGACAAAAAAAGAGGTTAAGACTTAAGAGGTTGTAAACCTATTAGTAGCGATCCAGCCATATTCATAAGTGGGGTGCATGAGTAAGGCGACTATAATCTTCGTGGGGTCAATTAATTAAAAATAAAAAATAGTTACAGATTATCTATATGAATTTTAGGGTAAGTATCAGCCAACAAGAAGGATTAGAGACGCATTTAACGACTCTTGTTGGCTTTCCAAATTTGTGTTAACAAATAAAAGAGTGGAGGATTTGTAACAGAACTTTGTCACTGGCAACGTGGTCATAAAACATTGCAAAAAAAGTATTTAGACCAAAACCATATATGGCTACCATAGGTCGGTTTCCCACTACCCTGGCTTGTTATAGTGAAAGCAATCATAATAAATAACCAACACTAACTAGCTTACCCTCTATCAGATTCATCGTTGTGGGCTTCAAGCAAATTGTCGATGTTGTTGTACTTTATCCCAGTAACATATCCACCAGGATTCGTTAGTGTGAGTTGAACAATGCCGTTATCCATAATCACCTACATACATACATTAATTATACCCATAAAAATAACTTGAATATGCGTTCAAACAAACTAGTGACAATCGAAGATACACGTACATGGTGCTTTCGGAAATGCAACTTCACTCCCACCATCGCCATTAGACCCTTTCAATTCTAAACACTGTCCTCTATTCACTTCCTTTATAGAACTAAATATCAACTATTTTTTTAACTATAAATAAAACAAATGATCGAACCCAAAAGATGACGATTTCGGAAACTAAGAGAATGTGTCGTAGGTTATGTTATTTTTATAATTAATTAAAATAAAGAATACACGGCAAATTTAGTTGATATATTTATGGTGTTTTGGAGTTGGTAAAGACGATAAGATATTAGGTGGATGTGTTTAGGGGTTTGCTTTAAGTTTTGAGAAAGGTGCTTTTAAATTCTCTTTACTTTTACTTTAAGTGAATTACAAAATCGTTCATCTGGTTATTTAAAAATTAAGGATTTAGTTTTCATCTTAAACTTTTAACACGTTTGGTCCTTGAAAACAATTTTTGCAACATTTGCAATACACGTCGCAGTTCCCTTGTTGGCGTTATGTGATAGGCCGTATATTCCCATGAATGTGATAGGCCGTATTTTCCCATAAATGTGAGAGGCCGTATATACAAGAGCAATATGCAATACAAGATGGGCCTAAAACATATGCATATTAATAACTTTTATAAATTTTATAAAAAATCATCAACTGAATTATTGCTTAAGATATCATATATTTGTCTCATATTTATTTGAGATCCATACAACCTTTTAATTTTCAATCGATTAATAAAAACTACTCAATTCAATCAATTAATAAAAACTACTCAATAGTCTTTACAGACCGATCTCAGATGGTGGACAATAGGAGCGACCGTCTAGGACTCATAGTTTAAATGGGCCTAAATGTTTTATGGAAAATGTTATATATAGAAGATAGTATACATAGTTTTCTTTCAATTATTGAGTTATTATAAAATCTTTGATGAAATTTGTGTATTTTAAGTGCCCATTTTTCCCTTTCGTCCTGGACCTACAATTTGTTTGGAACGGCCCTGAGTCCTTCACTTATATATTATAATTACGAATGAATTTTTTATGTTTGTAAAATTAATATCACTTATTTAACTTCATACTGATAATAAATTATCAATAATATATGGTAGATTATTTGAATTATGAATATAACATATATTTTGTTTTTTAAATTTAATATGATATTAAATAGAATTTTTATGTTAAATACAATGGTATTAGATTTCATATTTGAATCAAAATTACAAATAAACTTAAAAAACAGTCAAAGATTTATTTTAAACAGTCAAAATGTTTAAATGTGTTAAATGGAAACCTAAATGGAATTGTAAAATTAACTAAAATAATATCCAAAAACTATTTTTTGTAGTAATAGAATATTTTTCAAAGTGATTTTGTAAATTAATTAACAACAATAGTTAAAAAAAAAGTAATATAAAACTATATATATATATATATATATATATATATATATATATATATATATATATACCTATCATTAAACTTAATACTATATAGATTATTTGAATTTGTAACATCTTGTTTCGAGAAGTATCTTATTTCGGGATTATGGGCATTAAATGGATCAAGTATAGGCATTTGGATTTCAAAAGAGTGAAGTTTAGACCCTACTGGATGTGGATAATATAGGGTAGGTGATCCAAGCTCTTGGTTCGTGTTTTGAAGTCAAAAGGTTAAATGGTAAAAGTGATGCTTCACACTTCTTTCGTGATCGAAGGATTTTAGTTTGGTATGTTTTAAGTCAAAAGAGATTAGATAGGATATTAGGGTTCTTCTATGCATTTATGTGCATATAAAGAACACCGAAAACAGAGTCGAAACGAAGAAGTTATAGTTGTTTGAAGTTGAAGTGGAACTTGTAGATTTTTGAATTACAGTGGGCGTACACTAGGAGTACATTGGCCATAATTCATTAAAAGGATCGTGGACACCTTTGAGTAAGCTGGGCGTACTCATGCAAACTCTAAACCCTAAATTTTAGGGTTGAGCCCCTATTTAAGGACCTTAAGTCCCTTGAGGCCTCCCTCATCACCAGCCCCACTATCCCACAACTCCATTTTAAAACCCTAGCCACCTTGTGAGGTTCTTAAGCTGTTAGAGTGATACTTTATATGTTTTGGGGCATATTGAAGAAGAAGGAGTTCATTGGAGATGTGTTGGGGAGCTTGGAGCTTGTAGATCCCGACTTGGTTTTTCATCTAACATCTTCTAGAGGTATAAAGATCTAAAATACATGTCTTTTTAGCTTAGATCTGGATTTAGGTTATGTTTTGGCATGTTTTGGCCCCATGTTTGGTTTTTGTGAGTAAAAGCTACTCTAGAACTTGTGACGGTCCTTTCTCAGTATTCTAGAGGTTGTTGCACCATAAAAATGGGAACTTGGACATTCCTATACTTCTATGCATGAAGACTTAGGTTTTGGAGAGAATTTTAGATCTAGGGTTTGATGTCATGCTTTATTAATCCGTGCAAAAGCTTAAAGTTGTTGCCTTTATCAGTTAAGAGCTTCCCAAGATTAAGATCTATTAGTTGGACATTTAGTGTTAACGAATTAAGAGCTTAAAAGTAAGTTTGGGCATCAGGGGGAGTACGTTGGGCGTGACCCCTGAGTACGCAGGGCGTAACAGGTGTTGCCCCGTTTCCTTCTCGATGGTATCTCAGTACGTTGGGCGTAACAAGAGATTACGCAGGGAGTACTACAAGAAGCCCATTAGGTCCCTTTTGGGCCTTGGGCCAAGTTTAGTTGGGTCCAGTATGGGAAGGATAAAATGGTCTTTTACCCTTAGTATGAGAGAATATAAAATGGACATTGAGTATGGGTTATTACCCAAATTATTAATTATGGTTGGTTTGGATATGTTCTGTGTAAGGAGCCTTTGTAGCAGTAATGCGTGTGTGATTTGGTTATCTTCAGATTGAGATGAGTCTCCTTACTGTACGCGTGGGTCGACGGCACCAATGCCTGCCCACTAGAATGTGTTATGTAGGATACTAGCTGTCTTTGTGACTCTCGCATTGTATGTTGGGTTAGGCCCATTGACATGCAGGTAGGGTTGGGACCATTTGCATGAGCGGGTTAGGCTCATTGTATGTTGGGGTAGGCCTATTTGTATGTTGGGTTGTGCCCATTTATTTGGAAGGATTAGGCCCATTATCATGGGTTGGGCCCAATGTGCGAGCTAGGCCCAATGATATGTATGGTATGTCGTATTTTAGGGAAACTCATTAACTCACTAAGATTTGTGCTTACTATTATGTATTTATGGTTTTAGGTACTTCCGGTTGTAAGGGAAGGGCCCGACATGACTGCACAACATCCCCCAACGTTTTCTGCATTGACTATTTATGACTTTTACTCTGATGTTTAAACGATATAATCACTTTGGTTGGTTTTGGAAAAAAAATCTTTTTTATTGTTTATGGTTTTAAAAATGAAATTTTTTACTATAACTTTTGGGATGTTACAGAATTATTAATATAATATACTTTATTTTTTAATTTAAATATGACGTTAAATCTAATGTTTATGTTAAATACAATGGTATTAGATTTAATATCTAAATCAAAATTTCAAATAAACTTAAAAAATATCAAACATTATTTTTAAATAGTTAAAATGTTTAAACATGTTAAATGGAAACCTAAATAGAGTTGTAAAATTAACTAAAATAATATCCATAAACTATTTTTGTAGTAATAGAATATTTTTCAAAGTGATTTGTAAATTACTTAACAACAATAGTTAAAAAAAAAAGAGTAATATAAAACTATTTATATCTATACCTATCATCAAACTAAAAAGATGGTCACATAAGTAAAATTTTAAACAAATCGATCATAACAATTACTAAAAAATAACATTAAATCGAGAATAATATTCAATTTTATTTATGCACAAACAGCGGGAACAGTCTATTGACTAATATGATTAAAAATAGTTCAGATTCTATATAAACTTAGTGTAAAAAAATTTATGTCACTAAAAAAACCGTTTTAAACAACTTATATATATTTTCAATATGTAACATGTTACATCTCGAATTCCATGTAATTACACTTTTGACCCTTATTATGAAAATTGTTTGCAAAATGGTCCCATGAGGCACTTATATAAAACGCATGAGTTGATGGCGTACGTTTGGTACGTTGCGTGGCTGAAGGTCAAACCCTAATTTTTAGGGTTTGGACCCTATTTAAACATCCTTAAATCTTAAGACCTTCTTCATTCACCAGCCTCCATCCTCATTTTCGTACCTAGCAAACCCTAATCCATTTTGTGAGCATCCATGAGTCATTAGTGTGTATTTTGGTATTCTTAGAGGAAGGGGGAGGAAAGGAGAACATCTTGGAAGCTTGAAGCAACCTTGGATCTGGAAGTTTTGCACCCTTCTCCATCTCCAAAAGGTATAAGGCTTATTCCTTGATGCTTATTTTGTTAGATCTAGCTTGTATGATACTAATATGTGCTTTTGTCCCCAAACTATGGTGTTCTTGAGTATGACATGCTCTAGACCAAATGGGTTGTCCTTTTGGACGTTTTGCAGTGTCTGGAGTCATAAAAGTGTAACATTGGTCCTTTATACCATTCCATGCAAATGCTAGAGAGCTTAAGACCTTAAGACAAGTTAGGGTTTTGGTGTTGGGCATTTTCTAGACATGTAAACTCATAAAGATGGAAACCTTATGGTTTGGAATGATATTTGGGGGCTAGATCTGCATTTGAACGAAAGGACTTAAAGAAATAAGCACTTAATAGAAAAGTCGCCATTTGGCCAAGTATGTTAGGCATACTTCTGAGTACGCCGCACGTACTCTCTTGGGAGCCTGACTTGGATCATGAGTATGCTAAGCTTACATGTTGAGTATGCTGGCTGTACTCAGCCTCAGTCAACTCGGTTGACTTTTTGACCTTTGACCTTTACCAGATTTTGACCAAGTATGACGTAGGAGTATTTTGGGTATTTTTAGTTGTGGTTGATTTCGGTCACTATTCAATGTATATGTGACCGGTAGAGCTGATTTTCGGAGTAGTGTCATGTTCAGTTGTCTTTTCAGACCGAGAGGTGAGCTTTCCTCACTGTACTTGTGGGTCGAAGGCAATAATGCCAGCCCATTAGACTATGTATTTGGTATATAGGATGTTGTTAAGCAGTAGTGATTTGTTAGATCTGTATCCTGGTATTTAGGACGTTGTTATGTGGTAGTGATT